TTGGGCGCAAGTGCTTCCCCGTGGGCCCGGATGTTCGCTTTTCTTTCGGGGGGGATCACCGAGAACTGAAGGACCCATGGCCACCCGAAGCGCCTGGAGGCAGAAGTTGCGGAAGGCATTCACCTTGGGGGCCATGTCCGGCTGCTGTTGCTGCATCCTCGAGCAGAACAACCCCGGCGCAATCTCAAGGAGGGGCTGCTTCGCTGGCTTGCCTCTGTCGTAGGTGCCTAACCTTCCAAGGCTGTTGGACGGACACTATCTTTGGGGCTTTAGTTACTAAGATACCGACATGACCGCAACAAATCCAACGATAAAGCTGCAAAAAAAGAGAAACCATCAATGGGCAATGGCTACCTGGATCTAGTGTTCCCAACCCCATGGCGTTCCCGCCATGCGCGCCCGGTACAGCGCGGAGAATCAGGCGTCCTGAGAAGTGGGTGAGGTGGATTTCGCGAAGGGCAAAGGGCAATAGCGGCTGTAGGCAGAAATGGCTGTGGCCAGATCGATTGCTACCAACAAGTGGCACCGCTTCGGCCCAAGTTAAAGCCCGAAAAACAAAAAAAGAGGTGCTGCCATGGTTGAACTGGTGCTCCGTTCACCAGTTCTCATCAAGATGAGGCCGTACCAACACGCGTCACCAAGGACCAAGTTGGGATTCCTGGACCAGCACCTGTGGTCCCTTCCTGTCCCTTCGTTCCGCATCACCCTGTCGGGTGGAGAGTTCGTGGACCGAGACGTCTTCCGATGAAAATAACCATCAACGCGTCTCCAAATCATCTCGCTGCGGGGGGGAATGGCATCCTCCCATATCAAGTCTGATGAACCGCCCCAGTTTAGGTCAAGGATGCTCTCCGCCCCCCGTTCGAATGCCGGTCCCGGGGCCGCTCTGCCGGTCCCCATCGCTTTGAAGTTCGCTGGAGGACTTGGTGTATTTGGTCTGAAATGCTCAGGGGTCATTGCACCGGGGGACCTTGGCTTCACCACCGTAACATACACAGAAGAGCCTCAGGGGTCAAGAATGGCTCCGAGTGCCATGACCCATGGCCGCCATCTTGATCTGATGACCGCCATCCCAAGCCCTTCCCGCCATGGCCCGCACTGCCCTGCGGACCGACGCTAGGCCAGCCACTGCGGCAGCGGACCACGCTAGGCCCTCGAAGAAAGGGCTCTGGGCGGCCCGCAGCCTGTGGTCACAGGGCAGGGCACTGTTTCAGCCGCTGGTGCAGCCACCGTCAGATAGCAAACAGATCGAAGCGCGGGCTGTTGGAGTCAAAGAGCGCCATTCAAAAAAGGTATTAGATGAGATATGATGAGATGAAAAAGAACTTCCCTTTAGACTTCTAGGGATGGTGTTGGGTGGGCCAGAGCACCCCGTCCGAGTGGTGAGAGCCGGATCTCAGTCCAACAAGGACTCCTGATCGCCTAATGGAAGTCTTCCTACGAACTTGGTGCTAATAACAAGATCTTTGGACTGTTTCTGGGTCAGGGGCATAACCTGAGAGTCCAAGAGTCAATGACTATACAGTAAAAAGATTTGTATTTGGAGGACCTGTACTTCTCTGGGATTAGATATAGTCTTTCGGCTTCTGGGGATGAGATAGCCCTGCATCTTGCCATGCCTCATGGATGTCAGATTTCATGTGCCTTCGATGCACGCATCACCGTAGCCCCAAACACTGAGACCTCAAAGACATCCAAATAGACCATGTCACCAAGTCACTATGTCTCGCAACTTGCAACCATCACCTGTCCCGTACCAGCTGTAGGGCACCCCTTCCCAGCCCTCTTTTGTTGCTGGTCACAGCGGCGGCTTTTCGCACGCGGCGGGAATCCCATCGCCACCAGCGCATTCAGGAGCTCGGCACGTCGGGTGGTGTTGGTCCTCTATATTCAAGATCATTACCCCACTCCAAAGGAAACTTAGGGTTTTTAGGAGGCACTCTATTGTCATCTCGTCGGCTCACTCTCGCTGGCCCTTCCCACAGTCGACAAATCCAACCCCCTTTCTTGGTTGGACATTGGAAACCAGGGGTCGAACATGGGAGTGTCACACCACGAGACTCGTGAGACTCCTTCAACGCGCGGTGCGCACGGCGCCTTAACCCCAAAATCCTCCAAGGACCACGTCCTTCTGGCGAACGGCTCGAAAACAGCGCCACGGTCTCCAAGGATGGCCATTGATCGGTACACATGCGCTCGGGGGGTTGGATGATCAACAACTCTTGGTTCTTAAGTCGCTCAAAGAAGGATGTCCCGCCATGCGTTCTGTTCTACCTGGAAGGGCATCATCTAAGCATGGTACCACGTCCGTGGCCGCTCTTTTCAACTGAGGCCCATCTGTTGACCTGCACACGTCGCAGGTGGGCCACCACCACATGCATCTCCGCTCATGGCAGGGGAGCTGGTTTGGCCAGTGACCGGGTCGAGGGTGCCCTGATTGGACCTCTCTTCTGGCATAGCCCCGTATTGAAACCAAGGCTGCAGGTTCTGTGCTCCCGAAGTTGTCGCAGCATCTTCCAAGGCTTTGGATGCGGCTGGGCCCAGATTGAGGACAAAAGATACACCTCAGAGTAGAAACTGGTTGCATTCGCCTGGCCGGAATCACTTGGCTTGTTCGGCCCTGTAGAAGAGCAACGCGAAGTCCCACCCCAAGTCAGAGATGTCCCTACACTTTAGAGTTAAGAAAAGTAAATTACGGAATTACCCCCAAAAGCTCCACTGGCAAAGGCATTTCTTTCATTGATGCTTTTGAGTAGCCAGTGAGGGCATCCTCTAGTTACCAAGTGGTCCAGGCCCGGCCACGGTGGCAGCCACCGCTCGATTTTCGCATGCTTCGGCTCGTTAGGCCAAGGATTGAGCTGGAGGAAGTTTTCCACGGTCGGCGGAGGATCACTGCTGCAATGGCCACCCAAAAAATGAATGCGACGGTGGCCTACGAACCTTCCTTCGGTGTTTCTGGAGACTGATCCTGTTTGGTAGGAATTGGCTCTTTCATCTTGGTGCCGTCTATCGACTGCTTCCGGTTTTGAAAGTTGAAGCCAGGTTTGGCCGATTTCGGGGGACCATCACCACAATGACTCCAGGGTTTTCAGGATTGAACCCTTCTGCAGCATCAAGTCCAACCTCCTCACCCCCCATGCTGGTGGGATGAGCGTCGAACTGATGACGAGCGCTGCATGGCATTTGCGCTGGGGCAACGAGAGCCCTTACAGAGATGAGCGACAGACATGTATACCGCCACAGACACGTCGAGTGGCATCCGATGGAGGGCGGTTGTGGGTGGAAAAAAGGCACCAGGGCCCCCCAAGGGGTGTCTAACTATAGCTCCTTAGAGGTTAAGGGGTATCCATTAACCACCCCTTAGGGAATCGTGGGCCCTAGTATGGGAACATCTTGTGAATTTTTCTGGACCACTTGCGCCGCCCTCCACTGGATCGATTGGCGACACCAGTCGTATGTGATGATTGTTGGCCGACATCTGTAGCAAAAAAGGTACCATCATCCAAGTCCTCCCCATCTCGCGAGGACCAAATCCCTGGGCTCCAGTCGCCCCACGAGTTCGGCTTCCTCCCCCCACGCTCAGCCACAGCAACCTGCTTGTGAGGTACTTCCCTTGGCGCCCACCTGAGCGATGTGGGGAGAAACATCCGCACCCCGGAGCACGGAAGTCCGAAAACTCGGAGCAAAACAGGAGATCGTACACCTCTGTCTCTGTCGTACATCCCGCAAATCCAATGGTTCAGCTGCCATCCAACCAACCCAAGCTGGCTCTTGTTGAACATGCTTTTGCTTTCACTTGGCCGTGACTTCGTGCGTCTCTGACGCACCACATGGACCCGTCACCATGGACCCGTCCCGTTCCGCAGGTGGCCCGTGCCCTCGTTTTCCGTCGCAACCACGAACAGCACGGCAGTCCCAGCACACCCAATCCCGAGAGCTCCAAAGCGTCATGTGAGATGAAACTGCCATCTGCGCGGGAAAGAATGTAATGTGGAAAAGCCAACCCAATTCATCTGGTGCAGATCGCACAAATCAGATTCCAACACAGTCACAACGAACAAAGCTTCACTTCCGTCATTCATGCATGTTCATGCCTATATTATGCTATGCAGGATTGGACATGCTCTCGATGGCTTTTTGGGCATCGCCCTCATTCACCATCTCCATGGCAGCCCCACTGGTTTCAGGGTCCTCCGCGCAAGGGTCCGACGTGACAACAACGTCGGGCTTCGGGGCCCCCCATCGCTGCGGAGGTGAGGCTTCTTTCTTTTCGACCCTTGAATCATGTCACCGGGCTTCCTGCCACCGGCTCCTTCAGGATCTACATAGGTGAAAACAGAATCAACAGATTGAACCAGCCTAAGGTTCCACGAGAATGCCCTTTTCGCTCTGAGGCAGTGGGATCATCGATGAATTTGACAGATTTCACTCCCACCGTGTCCGGGTCTTCACTGATGTCCAAGAAGCTTTACAGTATTTCGCAGGTTTCAACCCTCAGGATGGATGTCTCTTGATGGATGTCTTTTTGATGGATGTCTTTCACAAAAAACATTCCACCCCCCTCAGGATCAGACCTTGACTGCTTCTTCCTCCACTTCAATGGGCACCTCTTTGGGCAGCGTTGCTGCGGGTGGCTCTACCTCCTCATTGGCAGGTGGCTCGGGAGGCGGAGCCTTGGCGAAGATGAGGTTCCACTTGCCTTCCGGTCCCGGATATGGACCTCAGAGAAAGGTGGCAACTCGCAAGCCCTCGGAGGCCAAAAGCATGCCAAAAGGCAAAACCGCTTGGGGGAAGACCTCTCGGGCTCCTGAGGTGTGCGTGGGGGGGGGGGTCGACCTGACTCATCGGAGAAGACGGTGACATGGACACGTTGGTTCCGCCAACGCTAAGTTGACACGGTGAGGTCCAGCCGATGTGGGCCATCGGACACGTGCTCATGAGCCGATCCCAACGGGGTTGGCCGGGAATGGCCGGGACACGGTAACGGAGAAAAGCAACGGCGGGGAACGTGGATGGCCTGTTGGATGACCACTGTGACGTGGAAGGCCAAACTGACTGGGTTCTCATGGGTTCTCCACTTCCATGGGCAACGTGACAGCTTGAGTGCCCGGACTCTACCACGAATGATCCTCCATGATGTGGACCACTTTTTTTTGGGTGACCGGGCGACTCTCTCCTGCTCCGCTTTCCAAAACGGATGCTCCTCTATAGACTCTATACCAGCACCTTCAAGCTGGAAGCCCCTACTGCTGATGGATCTCCATAGGACACCCCCTTGGAAAGTGGAACCTGCTGGTTCAAAATAAAAGCTTCTCCTGCAGGACTCGAGGAGCTATCATGAAAGGTGACCGGGCCATCTCCATTGTTCTCAGCCACCAAATACTTGGCCTTCTCGCAATCCGTCTTAATCTCGTAGCCCCGGCCCTGGTGCACGAAGCTCCATCGGTCGTTGCAATCATCGGAGAGATCTTCAGCCCGCAGGTGTTTGATCATGTCAAAGCCCTTGTCCGGATTGGCGGAGAGATAATTGAATGTTGGTACACTTTGTCCATCAGCACGCATCATCTCGCCTTGCAAGTAGGTACTTCCAGCTTTCTCAACTCCTTGCCAAAAAGCACGCCTCCATTGCTTCTTCTGTATGATCGTGAGAGCATGGCCACTCTCAGTATCATTCTTGAAGGGCTCAGGCATCTTTTCCTTGCACGAATTGCGTGCAAGAATTTGCCCTCCTCCTCAGTCTAGTCTAGGCATTCCTCGGCCCTTAGACTCCAACTAGACTAGCAAGACTAGCAAGTGGTGACTCTTCTGCAAGACTAGCCATGGAATCATAACATGCATGCCGCAATGCATCCACTCTCCACCCAAAAATTGGAAAACAAATCACGGCCACAGCGTCCTTGTTCGGCAAACTTGCCATATTGCTATTCAGCGGATCGGTCTTCGCTGCCTCTTCGTCCAGGGGGGGGCTTCTCCTTCCGACATCTGCAGGTTCTTGGACGCAACAACGATCCGGGCCTAAACTCAACACTCCATGAGTTTGAAGAACAAAAAAAACCTCCCCAGGTCGCTCACTCCCATGCCATTCGCGGGTGTGGCTCGGGCTCAGCTCCAGTCCTGCAGCAGGAAGCGTTTGGAAGCGAGGTTCTGGAGCATGAAGGGCTTCCTTGCTTCGGACGTGGGGTGAAGACGCGCCGCAGTCAGCGCGTCTTCACCCAGCGGAGGTGCAAGTCGCGGTGGGCAACGCGGTTCGATCTATGCCTCCATGTATACCTCTGGAAAGCCTAGTGTGCCTCAGAAATCGACGTCTCGCAGATGTTGGTCCGGCTTTCCATCTACCAATGGGTCAGCTTTCCACACCTTCTTGTCCACATTCCAGGCCACACCCTCTTGGAACCATAGCCTCCCACAAGCCCCGCACTCCAGGCCAGAAGCCCAACCTCCCGCTCGTCCGAGCGGCTTTGGCACCTGGGCCGCCAACTCCTCGGGGTCCATTTTCGCCACGTCCGCCTCGGTCAGGTTCCAGATCTGCCGATCCTGCTGCCTTGGACCGGCGCGGAGGAGGGCGCCGGTTGGGCCCCACCGCGGACAAAAACGGCCCGGTGTCTTCTTCCGGTCGCCCTCCAAAATGAAGAAAGCTGGCAGTGATGAGATGGTGAGGATTGGTCTGAAAATAGGTGACCCGGAGAACCATGATGAAACCCCAGCCGACTGGAACAAACATGATGCAACTCAATGCCCTCTCTACTTCCAAGAGCCGGCTCAAGCCGAGTGGTTGGCGGCCCATTTTGGCGGAGGGCGCACCCAGCTCACGATCACCAGGCGGTCGATGCGGTCCTGAATGCTACGTCCTAAAGTTCTAATGGCAAACTCGCGTTGAGTATACTTGGTGGTACCCTCCGGGCAAGGATCAACAGCGCCATCTCTCCTGTCATCTCAAGCCTCCTCTGGGTAAGGCGTTCACCATCCAGCACCACCCCACCCCATGCGCCCATCCCAGCGGCGTGTCGTACTCCTCGGTGAACTTCAGGGTGCCGTCGGCTTCGCGCGTGACGAACTTGGGCACCTGCCCGCGCGGACGACTGCGCGCGTGCGTGCTGGTGCGTGCAAAGGACCGCCGAGTATCGGAGGTTCAAAGGGAGGAGAGGCCGAAGTCCCACCCCTCGCCTAGACGAGGGAAGAGTCCCAATGGAATCCAACTCGCTTTTAAAGCCAGCAGGGCTATCGCAAGCTTCCGGTGCAGGCGACGAATGTCGTCGTCCATGAGACCGGTCGAAACCAATGCGCTCCATCGTCTCGAAATGTACCGAGGGGAGCGATGAAACAAAGAAACAACGGAGGGGAAGAGCAAAGAAAGAGGAAAGGATCCTCGGCCAAAAACAAGAAGCTTCCAATTCACATCTACCAGTACCTTCACGGTGTCTCACGGACACATACGAACACCTACCACATGGATCTACGACCTGAACGTGGAGCATGGGTGGAACAGAATCCCTTTGCGCTGCAGCCCGACCTCCAGTTCGCTAGAGACGCCTCGCTACGCGAAGGAGACATTTGAAGCCAGAGGTTCGAAGATGTTCTGGTCGCCTAAGGGTTCTTAGCCGTCTTCGCCTAAGGTTTGGACCCAAAATCGGTTCTCTCAGGTCGGACCGTCTCGTCTCAAGTCGGACCGTCTCCGCCGGGACGGTCCGCGCCAGTAAAACAAAGGTGCCACCTTTCGTGAGCTCAAAGTGTCTGGAAAACCTGCCTGCACCAGTTGCAGGCTGCGATCCATGGAGGTAGGAGTTGGGTGCCCAGCTACTCCACTCACTGGATGGGACTAAACAACACCCCGACATGTGACTCCTGGATATGATAAAATAGAATAAAGAGTAATAATATGTATATACACCCGGGAAGAGGTCCACATAGAACCTGAAAACCACTGGGTTGTAGAGGAAAGTTGACTTCCGAAGGTCCATTTTCAGGTTCCATGTTAATCTTCCTGGGTGTAATAATCAAGGAAATCGTAAAGTAAGATACATACGTAAGATGATAATGGATGAACCGTCACAGGCACCATCCGGGCAGTCATTGAAACACCTCAACACCCCGTGCGAGCCTTTAAGGCTCCCATGTCCTTGAGTTCTTTCCTGAGCGTGGGTTCGGCACACTTCTGCGAAAAGCCACTGGAGTGCCGGGTTTACCGTCACAATGGGTGGCTGCAGGTATCACTGGAGCGGATTCATGGCTTTTTCATGGAAATGTCGGAAGAACTTGGCACATCTCTGTGAAACTCCACGCCATCCATATCATGTGCCAGCAACCCCGGCACTTCAGGCGACCTGTTTTCTAGAAATTCTCTGAGCCCACACGTACAACACACACAGGAAGCCACGAACTAGCCGCTAGGCCGCTATAGGCGTTTTTCGCGGGGGGGGTGACTTGGGCAGACCATCTGGCACCCGTGCCAAGGAGGCACCTCGTTCCCAAGCCCCTTACAAAGTAATTACGCCTCTTGCAGTGGTTTCAGAGTAGATGGCACAGACCTCAAGATGTCCTTTAGATGGGGGTCCATATAAACCACCTCTTGGGGTCTGTGCCATCTACTCTCAATCCACTATACCCCTCTTGCAGAAGCTCCGGATCTTCCCCCCCCCAGGGATTCACTCACGACTGGCTCTAAGCTTCGGTGAGCTCAGGCCGCCACAGGCGGTCTTCAGCTTCCACCCTGTGAAGGTGTTGTTCTGCGTGGCCCGCTGCAGCAACCAGCACTGATTGCAGCCCTGCAAGCTGCCGCAGGCCACGTGCAGCGGGTTGCACTCTTCCGAGATCGAGTTCGCAGAGGCCGCAGCTGAGAGGCAACCTGAGGTGCTTGGGCCGTGGGTGGTGGCCCACCAAGTGTCGTTTCGGTGCGTCCCACAGCAACGACTGATGATTCAATCGAAAAAAACAAGTCCTGCACCACCCTGGAACCTCCAGGTGGAATCAAATCATGATTCTTGTTCTGAAGCCTCCGTCTCCGTCTCCGCAACAGTCTTGGAAACCGCCAGAAAGAGTGTTCAAGAATGCGCCCAACAAGTTGGATGAAGTTGCTGTGAAAATGCCACAAGTTTCACCCAAGAGATCCCAAGAGATCTGAACTATATATATATATATAAGCCCCATTTCTGGCCCCGCCCCGCAGGTGGTTCTTCGGACCCCGACCCCGCCCGGCCCCTCGTTGGCCCTCGTTCCCCCTCGCTCCTCACCCAAGTCACGGCCATGGTCCGAGAGGACCATCGCCAAGGGCAGATTCACATGACGACAGTCACGGTCGCCCTCGCGCCAGTGCCCCTCCGGCAGCTTCTGCAAATGGGGCTCCTTCTCCCACTCCTCGGGCAGACTTGCCAGGCCGCCGTTTCGGGTCTCAGGTTTCGGGTGACTCGTGACGAGTACATACCCCACCACCCAGCAGAGGTTGAAGAACCCGAACTAGACTATAGACTATCCTATATAGATATATATATATAGGCACCCCTGGTGACGGGTCCTAGTTCAGGTCACTTCACCTCTGTAGGACACCCAGAACTTCTCAACGGCCATCGACTAGAGAGATGAGTCGTCCCGTTGCATTTCCACTGCCAAGTTGCCTCGCTCGAGTGTTGAGCACACTCCTTCCTTGGACCCCCCCCGCACCGACAGCCCACCCGGCCAAGCCTAACAGCATCTGTT